TCTGAACAAATGATACGCCAGATGCGTCGTCGATGCGAATTATTTGGAGGAATTCCAAGAAAGCAACAGCAGATAGGCCTTATTGTGCATACCGAATTTTACTGTGAACATTAACAAATACAGTTCTATGCGCGCGCAACATTAGATAAAAACACTGGCCCGAATAAACGCAAGACAAGCGATCGTAAATGTACTTACGAACGATAACGCTTGTTTTGCGTGGATGATAATAACTGCGCTTGAACAGAAGAAACCTTCGAAAAGATACAGCCAATATCCATATTATTCAAGTGCTGAAACTCGATTACATCGAATTTCCAATGACTCTGAAGGAAACTGCATAATTCGAATGTCTCAATGACATTTCCGTCAGTATTTATTTTCAAGAAAAAGAAACAAGAGACGACAAAAAGATAATTGCTCTGCTCTTTACCGATGATAAGGAAAACATTCACGTGAATCTGTTATATCTAACATATAATTCACCTACCGACAGCGATGGCAATGACGACACGACGACATCAACACAACGGGATATTTCGTATGTGTAAAAAATCTATCTCAACTATTAGGATTCCAATTCAACAAGAACACATTGCAAGAAACATATCTGTGAACTGTACTTAAAAAAAGTGACAAAAATAAAATGAAGGAAACATTATATTCATTATTGTTTTTTATTTTACAGATGTCTTTACTATTTCCACAGAAGCGAGAATTGCTTGCGCACAGCGTCGATTGCGGCCGTATGAACGAATGTGTCACTGTGTTACTGAGCGAAAAAGACAAATAGCTGATTCTTCGCGATCACTACAAGAGGGAACGTCTTCTACTGATGGTATGATATGTCGGTGTGGAACGCATACTTAGGAGTAAAAAAAGTTATTTCGAAGAAACCGACAGCAGCTGGATTAACAATTATATCCATCAATATCACAAGGCTTTAGTGTGAAATACAATTTGCGTTCCGCGTTCGACGATAAACTCGCGTCTGCGTACCAGGTATAGAAGTATGAAACCCGAATTTTTTGTAAAAATTACACGTCTGTTGTTTGAAAATGATAAAAAATATTTCATTCAAAATAATGTCCATTGCTATTTATACATTTTTCCCACCTCTCCGGCAGTTTATGAATGCCACGCCAAAAAAACATTTATTCTTTTAAAGCGAACCAGCTATCGAGCCATTTTCGTACATTTTCATACGAATTAAAGCGTTGTTCAGCGAGAGCGTGTCCCATTGATGCGAATATATGATAATCGGACGGAGCCAAATCTGGAGAATAAGCCGCGTGCGTTAGTACNAAGTTGGTAATTGGAATTTTTTTGTAAAATTGGCACGTCTGTTGTTTGAAACTGATAAAAAATATTTTATTCAAAATAATGTCCATTGCTATTTATATATTTTTCCCACCTCTCCGGCAGTTTCTGAATGCCACGCCAAAAAACATTTCTTCTTTTGAAGCGAATCAGCTATCGAGCCATTTTCGTACATTTTCATACGAATTGAAGCGTTGTTCAGAGAGAGCATGTCCCATTGATGCGAATAGATGATAATCAGTCGGAGCCAAGTCTGGAGAATAAGCCGCATGCGTTAGTATTTCCCAACTGAACGCCTCGATCGTTTCTCTGACCCGTTTTGCTATGTGTGATGGGGCATTATCATGGAGCAAAATGACTTTGTGTTGCCTTTTTCCATATTCCTGTCGTTTTTCACGCAGTGTTCGATTTAAATCGATTTGCTGTTGGTAGCGATCAGTGTTAACTGTTTCACCAGGTTTTAGCAGCTCATAATAGATTACACCCTTCTGATCCCACCAAACACAGAGCATTGTCTTTATTCCAAAGCGATTGCGGTGGATGTCGATGGTTCACCTGGATTCACCAATGATTTCTGACGCTTAGGATTCTCAAAATATGTCCATTTTTCATCACCTGTCATGATACGATGTAGAAATGACTTTCTTTTGTATCTGTCGAGCAGCATTTTAGAAGTGGTTTTCGATTTTCTTGCTGTCTTTCATTCAGTTCATGCTAAACACATTTTCCCACTTTCTGAATTTTTCCCATGGCTTTCAAACAAATTGAGACAGCTTTCTGCGTCACATTCAATTCATCCGCGAGTTCTTGTTAAGTTTGAGTATCATCTTCATCCAATAAGGCTTGCAATTCGTTGTCTGCCAACTTTTTTGGTGGTTTCCCACGTTCTTTGTTCTTACGTCAAAATCATCACTTTTGAATTTTTTCAACCACTCGAAACACTGTGTTTTACCAAGAGCATGTTCACCGTAAGCTTCGACAAGCATTCGATGCGATTCTGCAGCAGTTTTCTTCAAATGATAACATAAAACCAATGCTGTCCGCGAATCGTAGTTCTTAGGTACAGAACTCGACATATTTAAGATTATAGAAAAATATACCTGTGTATGGAACTTGGGTTGTTATGCTTTGAAAATTTTTGTCAGCTGTTAGAAGGAGATGATGGCGCTGCAGAAGAGGTCTTACGGTCCCTAAACTGATGCCTAGCACCATCTTTAGGGAAATTCCGGTTTTATACTTCTACATCTGGTAGAAGATTCATCGCGGTGAGGACTCTATCTCGTAGTTCTTCGACGATATCGGCACAATCGCGGAACGTGTAAACGTGTTTTTAACTACAAGGGTGGATCAAATATAAACGAGCCTTTTTAAATTGCCCACTCGTCGACGGCGTGAGGGGTCTGCAACGTTTGGGTCAGTGCAATGGAGTCATGTGGAATGCAGTAAAAACGTTTGAATGTTTTTTACTCTCAGCAGCAATCACGATTAACGAGCAAGAGGTACACCCTGCAGTTGCACAACGTGTTATTATTAAGTTTCTGGTTAACGAAAATGTAAATGCTGCTGAAATTTGGCGCCGTTTATTCCCACAGCTCGTGGACAGAACCCTTTCATGTGCTCGGGTGTAACAGTGGTGTAACGAATTTAAGAATGAACGGAAGCGTATTGAATATATTATCCACCCGTGCGGTCCCCGCACCAGCATCATAGCACAGAACACCGAGGCTGTTTGAGCACTTATCGAAGGCGATCGACACTTATCTGGTCTTGAAATCTCTCAGAAAGTTCAGTTCGAGCTGCCTATCGGTAGAAAAACGCGGCATTCCGATCCGAAGTGTGTTGCTTCTCTATGACAACGCCAGACCCCACACCGCAGCAGTAACACAACAAAAATTGGCCGATATGCACTGGGTTGTCTTAGAATATCCACTCTACACCACAGACTTGTCACCATGCGACTTCCATATGTTTGTGCCACTCAAGGAAGCCCTTGATGGACAGCGTTTCACAACGAACAGGGAGGTGCAGCAGTTCGTGTGCAATTGGTTAGATATACGTCCGCGAACTTTTTATGATACCGGAATTAAAAAATTATCAGACCGTTGGAGGAAGTGTATAGATAAGATTGGAGACTGTGTAGAAATATAAGAAAACTGTCAATTAGAATTGATTTTGAAAAATATATGTTTTTTTGCAAAAAGTTCTTTTATATTTGATCCACTTTCGTATAAATACGACTATGGGGGAACTCATACCGAACGAAATACGAGGGGGGTCCAAAAAAAAACCGGATTTTTTATATAAAAACTTTATTTATTAACTTTTTTACTAAATTCCTTCGGTCACCTTCAATGTACTCTCCATTAGATGCGATTGTCAAGTCTTTTTTCCCACTGTTTGAAGCATCTCTGGAACTCTTCAACTTTGATATCGTCCAGTGCCCTTTGCGAAGCGGTTTTTACCGCCTGCAAATGATTAAAACGCTTCGCTTTTAGATTTTTCTTCATTCTCGAAAACAGAAAAATGTCGCACAGGGCTAGGTCTGGTGAATACGGAGGGTGGGGACAGGCCATCCCCGAGAGGCCAAATAATTGGTCACTCGTAAGGCCGTGTATGCGGGGGCGTTGTCTTTTAAAGGCCACATGAAGCCTTTGTGCAGAAAATGGCACATAAATTCTTTAGAAGTTGGCAGTCAATTACTAAGAAGGCGAAAGAAGGTATTTTGTAAACACCTCAACGGCGGAGTAGGCAGAGGAACGGCAAACCACAACATGCTGCCTTGCAGTTAGGGAGGGAATTCCAAAGGATAAGAGAAGATACCTTGATAGAAAACGGGCTGGCATGACAGCCAAAAGGGCAGCCCCCTTATCATGCTAACTTCCGTAGGGTTAATAACTCACATGGAGCGAAAGCATCTATTCAGAGACAAATGAGAGTAGCCGGACGGATATCACGGATGCAACTTGGCGCGAAACGGTATATGAGAATTGATACTTGGAATGTGACATCACTCACTGGAAAGGAAGTAAAGATAGCTGAAGAAATGGAGAAGTACAAGCTTTCCATACTTGGAGTTAGTGAAACCAAGAAGAAGGGTAGTGGCCAAAATTAATTTGGATAAGGGACACCTAATGAGATATTCAGGAGTCAGCAGGAATGTGCGGGCGAAGGAAGAAGTGGCCATTATTATGTCTGAAGCAGTGGAAAACAAAGTGACAGGCTGGGAACCTATTAGCTCAAGACTAATTTAGTGGATGTGAAACTGGAGGAAAGCATTACGCTGGTGCAGGTCTATGCCCCAAATGAAGATATGAAAGAAGTAGATAAAGAGCAATTTTATGTGCAATTACAAAAAACTATAGACAAAGCTAGGGAAAGAAGCAGACATGTAATTGTGATGGGGGATTGTAATTCTAGAATTGGAAATAGGATGCGTTGAAGACATGGATGTATGAGCCAACATGGAGCAGAAAGCACCATCAATAACAATGGCGAAAGAATGCTGGAATTCTGTATTGATAATGAGCTGAAGATTGGCAACACCTTTTTCCGCCATAACAATACCCATAAAACAACTTTTGAGTCAGTAGGCCGGGGAATAAAGAGTTGTATTGATTACTTTTGCTACACCAAGAACATGACATATGCAGCATTAGATGTAAGTCTTTCGTAGCGCAGAAATGAGCACGGAGCATCGCCTTCTGGTTATGAAAACAAGGTTCAAGACTCCACCCAGTCCTCCTCATCTTCGATTCCAGAAAATAAGATTTTCTGCATTCAGAGAGAAAGAAGTAACACAGAACTATGTCAAGAAGTTGGAGGAAAAACTTCAGCAAACAGAAAATGAAGAACCCGAGGGAGGCTGGAACTTAGAACAGAGATGGAGGAAATTTAAGACGGATATCCTCAAAGTAGCAGAAGAAGTCTGTGTGAGAACTACTGTAAATACACGAATGAAACAAACAAAGTTGTGGAATGAGGAGGTTAAGGAAGGCGTAAGTAGGAAAAAGGCAGCGTGGAAGGAGTACATGAGCACAAAAAGGGCAGAAGACTGGAGAAATTATGTTGAAGCACGCAATGAAGCTAAACAAGTACAGCAGACTAAAGAAAGTAGCTGGCAAGACTTTGGCGAGGAAATTGAGTCAGAATACAGAAACAATCAAAAGAAGTTCTGGAAGATACTAAGATTCCTCCAAGGTAAAATGGAATAGAGAATTAGAAACATCAAAGGCAGCAACCAGAATGTACAAACGAGACCTTAGGACATACTTGCTACATGGAGTACATATTACGAAGGTGTGTTCCGTGCAGATTAGCATCCTCAAGAGAATGCTAATAATGCAGTGGAAGAAGAAGGACTAGAAGATGGGGAAATGATTATGCAGAGTGAGGTAAGAGAGGATATCATTGAAATGAAGATGGGTAAGGCGGGTGGTTGGAATGGAATATCACCGGAATTGATGAAGTACGGAGGAGAGGTTGTGGTAAAGTGGATGATAAAGATATGCCAACAAGCATGGAACACTCAGAAGATCCCAAAGGACTGGGAGAAGAACATTATCATCCCTATCCATAAGAAGGGCAGCACTCTGGACTGTGCAAACTATAGAGCTATTTGTCTCTCCCGTGTGGCTGCGAAGGTATACTCTCGACTGTTGCAGAAGATTCTGAGACAGGAGATAGAAGAAAACCTGGAAGAAGAGCAGTGCGCATTCTGGCCAAATCGACAAAGACACGACCATATATTCACACTAAGAACTGTTATAGACAAAAGGCTTAGTAGTGGGAAGGATGTCCTAGCCGCATTCATAGATCTTAAGGCAGTATTTGACTCTGTCCCCAGGGAACAGCTTCGGGCAGCACTCAAAGAAGGAAAAAGTCACAAAGACTCTCCAACGTCGCATTCAAAGCATGTATAACAAAGTCCAAGGGGTAGTGAGGATAGCTGGAGAATGTTCTAGGAAATTTGAAATGGAAAAAGGAATGAAGCAAGGAGATAGGTTGAGCCCTCTTCTCTTTGTGATCTCCATGAACCAAGTCATCAAACAGTGTAGAAGAAGAACCAGAAGAATTAAGATTGGCAACTGTAACATGAGACTCATATATGTACAATCTTTGGTTTATGCATATGATATTTTAGTTCTGGCTGGGAGTGAAGAGGATCTTCAGCAAGCTCTTACTGGGCTTGTGTTTTCCAGGACCGTGGGATGAAAGTGAATGGGAGTAAGACCAAGGTCATGCAGTTTACCAAGAGGGAAAAATACAGCTTCACATCAAATAGAATAATGAGGATATTGAGAAAGAAGAACAAAATGAGTACCTGGTCGCCATCTTCAGAGAGGACGAAAAGTTAGATGCAGAACTAAACAACAGAATTAGAAAAGCTAATCAAGTGTACAATGGCATAAATAACACTATCATAGGGAAGAAGGAGATTACTAGAAAAACAAAAGTTCGGGTTTACCATGCCATTTACCTGACACAACCCTCTTTTATGATGCAGAGAGCTAAATAATGCATAAAAAACTGGAAAGTCGTTTGGTTGCAGCGGAGATAAGATATTTGCGGAAAGTGGCTGAGAAAACTCGAAGAGATCACATCAGTAACATCACGGTAAGAGACGAGCTTCAGCAGAAATCAATAATGGATATCGTTGAGATGAGAGCGCTGGGCTGGGTTGGTCATCTAGTAGGAATGGAGAATGGAATGAGGGCAAAGCAGGTGTGGCAAGCCAGGAAAATAGGAAAATAGGAAGAAGAACACGAGGAAGGCCACGGATTGAATGGAAGGAGTACAACATGGGACTGATCGGGAAGCGAAGGAAGACCCTCGGTGATGTGCGGAGAATGGCACGTGATCGAGGGAACTTCAATAAATGGCTGAAATGCCTCGACGCTTAGCGGCACAAAGGAGAAGAAGAAGAAGAAGACGAATTAGGAGTCTTCCACTGGCTTGACGCTTGCTTAGTTTCTCGGTCATATCCGTAACACCAACTCTCATCACCTGTAATGACTTTGGAAAAAGGGAAGCGTTTTGATGATGTGGAGGCGGTAAAAACAGCTTCGTAAAGGGCACTGGACGATATCAAAGTTGAAAAGTTTCACAGATGCTTCAAACAGTGGGAAAAAAGACTTGACAAGTGCATCGCATCTAATGGAGAGTACTTTGAAGGTGACTGAAGGAATTTTTTAAAAAAGTTAATGAATAAAGTTTTTATACAAAAATCCGGTTTTTTTTTGGATCTCCCCTCGTACACGATTTTGCAAACGCCAATCACTACCACATATGCGAGCAGACGTTGAACCGGACGACAACAATGTGATATACCGAGTGCGTAATCATTGGCACCTGACCGGACGACAGAGGCTCCGCGCATTTGCAATGCAATTATAGAAATTAATTATAGAAATTCGCACATTGTTCCTGTGTTCTTTCCAAATTTACAGGTTACGATGTGCACTTCATCATAGTACGAATCGCCAACGCGTTTGAAATTAGCGTCAACCTGTTATAAATAACCAAAGAAAAATATCTATCATTCACAAAGAATGTTGAATGCACGCGCGACACATGGAGAAATCGATTAAAGCTGCGTTTCGTTGATACCTTCAAATTTCGCAGTACCAGTCTGAAAAAGTTAATGTCCTGTCTCAACACGAACAGACTGAGAATCACGTGATCGGAATTCTCTTACCTCAACAAAGCCCATGATTTTGCATTGCTCCTATGCGAAGGTGTGTTTTCGTACGAATATGTGAACAGTCAGTCACGACTGTCGGAGATCGAGTTACTGCCGCAAGAAGCTTTCTATAGTTCATTGAACGACGAGACTGTTTGCAAAGATGATTTCGATCACGCGCGAACTATGTGGAAACGTTTCCACATAAGCGATATGAACGAAAACAATTTGAAAGCCGACGTGCCACTACTAATAGATATCTTCAAGAATTTTCACATTTGCATCTACAGCCTTCGATCCGGCGCATTTCTATATTCTATCGGTTTACATGTGAGATATAATGTTAAAATACACGAGCGTCCTCTTCGAATTACTATCCGACATCAATATGAAACTGTACATAGAGCGCGTGTTCATAGAATGGTACATGCAGGGAACTCACAAGGGATCTTCGGCAACGAAAATTCAAAAAAATCTGAAACTGCATAATAGTAGACTAGTAAGCCATAATAACGAAATAATTTTTTGTTGATATTAAAAAGCGGTTTTAGGGGTGAAAACAACAACCTCCTATAAAAAATTGGCCTTTACATTTCAAAGCAAATGCCATCAAAACGAAAAGAAATATAAAAAATATTTAACAAAAAAATGTTTAACAAAAAATGTTAAACAAAAGTTTAATATTTGCAAATATATTTTATAATGGCGTATATGGATTTAAATAAATGGTAATATTCTACAAAACACCCCAACAACCCATTATTTTTTTAATATTTTGGAAAAGTATGCAAATTTTATTAAAGCCAAATTTAAGGCCAAATTTAACTATATATAATAAAGTTATGTTGCGGAAAGTAATTCTTGAAAAATAAAATAAAGATGCACGTTACCTATACTAATATCATTATTTGTTCACTTTTTCTGGACGTTATGGTGCGGAAGCATTGATCGCTAAATTGAATGTTCACAGATGTAGCATCTTTTCGGACAATTTTTTGCCCGTAGAATTACACAGGCTTTAGACTTAATTCTCATAACCCGTCTATGTAGGTATGCGTGCCCTCGAAATTTCAAAAATGCATTTCCACAAATTCTGCTATAATTATATTCTACCGGTCTATCACCCTAACGAAGACAACAATAATATTAGGTTAAGGAAAAAGAAATCCATTATTTTTTCGGTAGATGGCTCTAGTGATCGATATCTCGTAAAGTATCGATCAAACAATTTCAAGATTTATGCTCGTTGGAAAGGTGACATTTTGCAATAAAAAAATTCTTTTGTTTTTTTTTGTTTGGTCCATTCAGTTGTGAGTTACAGGATGTTAAGAATGGAAGTCAACAAAGAGAAAATTCGGTACATTTCACAGTTTTCTTTGATAAAGTCGAAAATACAAGCCAGGCGGCTGTAATTGTAAATGGTGTTTATGGTGCCGATACTGTAACAGCCAATTACGTGCAATTTTGGTTTCGCCTATTCCGTTCAGGTATTTTTAATGTTGAAGATGCACCTCGCACAGGTAGTCGTCGAAAATGTCGATAAAATTACAGAAATAATCGACCGGCATGTTAGCAGTCGTAGCATTGTCCAGGAGCTAAAGATCGACCATGAAACAGTTTTAAACCATTTCAACAAAGCTGGATTCAAAAAGAAACTCGATGTTTGGGTGCCACACCAATTAACACAAAGAAACATAATGGATCGAATTTCCATCTGCGAAGCCTTGGCCAAACGGAATGAAATCGAACCATTTCTTAAACGGAAGGTTACCGGAGATGAAAAATGGGTCACATACGACAACATTGTGCGAAAACGATCGTGGTCAAAGTGCGGTGAAGCAGCTCAAACGGTGGCCAAACCAGGACTAACGGCCAGGAAGGTTCTGCTGTGCATTTGGTGGGATTAGAAAGGAATCATTTATAATGAGTTGCTTCCATATGGCCAAACACTAAATTCTACTGTCAACAACTGGACCGTTTGAAGCTAGCGATTGACCAAAAACGGTCAGAATTGGCCAACAGGAGAGGTGTTGTGTTCCATCAGGACAATTCCAGGCCACACATGGCTATAGTGACTCGCCAGAAATTCCGGGAGCTTGGTTGGGAAGTTTTGATGCATCCACCATATAGTACGACACCAAGCGATTACCATGTTTTTCTTGCATTGCAAAACTTCCTTAGTGATAAGAAATTGGCCTCAAGAGAAGATTGTGAAAATCGATTACTAGAGTTTTTCGCTAATAGGGACCAAGACTTCTATGAGAGAGGCATTATGAAGCTACCTTTAAAGTGGCAAAAAATTATAGAACAAAACGGTGCATATTTGACCCAAATCGGACAATCCGAAACATGTTAAATAAAGTTTTGAAGTTCACGTAAAAATAATGGATTTCTTTTTTCCCAACCTAATATATGCCGATATATGTACGCAGTCACAGACAATTTGATCTATTTTCTCAAGGGTAATAATTCTTACGAATGTTTCAAACGTGACATTAAAAAATTCGACACTAGCGATTATCCAGAAAGAAACGGGTACGTTATACTCTGCGCGAACAAACGAATACCGGCCTCATGAAATACTAAAACTGCGGCGCCATCATAGAACCGAATTCATAGGACTCAGGACAAAAATATACGCTCATAAGTAAGTAATCGGTCTTGACGGAACGAAAAAGATCAAAGATGTAAAAAAAAATCATCGAGCGATAAATCACATTCGACGATTACACACAATGTGTGCGCAACGTGATGAAACGACAATCATGCATACGATCGCAACTATAAATGAAGTTTACACCGTGTCCAAATTAAAACTCGTGCTCAGTCCTTACGACAACGAAAGATATGTAATTCCCGATTTCTTCTGTGATGAAACTCTTCCTTAAGGACACTACAAATTACCATTGTAATCTTTTCAAATTTTAATAAAACATTTTACCACATCTATTATAAATTTTATTATGGCCACTTTTCAAAACATCATGCAAAAATAAGTATGCCACATACGATAATTGCAAACGGATGCACCCGCGGCGATGCGTATGCATTACAATCGTGACGGATGCGCCTCCTCGCATCCTTGAACATATGTGCATCCACCGTGCTTACCCCCCAATTCGCGGCCAACCATCGCACACTACACACCACTACACACAATATCCTCACTATGGACGCTGGTGATGTGCAGGGAGCGACGGGAGATCGAAAGATATATAGGACAACATCTCTTCTTCTTTTAAGTTGTTTGTCTCACATATGAGGCGTCGTGATCTTCCGGAAAAATTGCTTTCTTGACGATGAAGCGCTATTCTTTTCTATCCAGCGCCCGGGACGCGGTTTCTCGAAGGGAATCGTCAGTCAGTTTCCTTAATTAGTCGATCCATCTTAACAGGGATCTACCACATAGTCGCTTTCGCTGCAGCTTGCCTTCCACTATAGTTTTCTTTAAGTTCTCTCTATGCATTACATGTTCAAAATATTTCAAAACTCGATCGGATATGATTGAAACTATTCGAATGCTAACCTTAAGCTCATTAAGGATAGAGATATTTGAGCGTTGAGCTCTCTAGGGGATCTTTAGCATTCTTCTCCAACACCATATTTCAAAAGCGTTGATACAGTCACGAACTTTTTGTTTGACCGTACATGTTTCTGCTTCATACAGAAAGATAAAGAAAACGAGGGACTGTACAAGGCTCATCTTGATCTTATTAGATATTTATCCTGTCATATCCTTGTGAGCCGCGACATAGAACCACTTGCTATTTCAATCCGCTTACATATCTCCACGCTGCTACCGCCTTCATTAGATAGAACTGTATATAAATACAAAAATTTTTGGATCACTTCGCAGCCTGCCACCTGAAGAATATCCGGTCGATTATTGTTTCCCTGTCAATAATCATGATCTTGGTCTTTTGGCGATTTAATTTAAGTCATATCTCATGGCTTGCTGTCTCTACACGTTAGATAAGTTCTCCCAGGTTCTCCATAGAGGTAATAATCAAAGTGGTGTCATCCGCGTATCTTAACACTTTGCCGTCCGCACGTTTCATCAGGATTTTTTTATTTGGCGCCCGCGGTTTTTCGAGGTTTTCGGGAGATCATAAATCGTCAGTTCTCATTAGTTTTTAATCTTGTCCCGCTACTTTCATGAAATTTCGAGGATATATGTAAATAAATGTAACATTTTTTTGTATTATAATGTAAATAAATGTAACATTTTTTTGTATTATATATTTATTATTTATTAATATTTTATTGGGTACTTAGTATTTCTGTTTTACATGATATGAAGCAAAACAATCTCCGAGGTGTAACCCGACTCCATGAAACTTACACATTAAATTTGTTGTCTTTTTTTTTGTTTTTGGAACATATATGGCACTTTCTTCGTTTTCGTTTGTCGGTTTCGGAAATTTGTATTAGCTGGTTTTGCTTTAGCTGACCGGAAACTCTGTCGATCGAATCATGATATCTGTAACTTATTGTTATTTAAACAGAACACAAACAGAACACCAACAGTACACAATCAGAACACACACGGCACCACAGTGCTGTCAGAGGCCTTTGCGTGATAGTTTTGCGGACGACACCAACGTGGTGTCGCCGACCTTTGCGCAATAGTTTTTGCGGGATACCAACGTGGTATCCCCGGACGACATAGTGTTAAGTTGTTTATTCTACATTCACTAATAGAAAAATCCTAGGTCCCAGCAGTTAAGAGCTTTCCTCATAACATATTTGCCATAAACATGGAAGAGGATAGGAAATAGAACGCAGCCTTGAAGCAACTCTGACGTGAAACCTAAAAGATTTTCCATTATCAATCCAAACGTATTTTGAGTTGTTTCATATAATGACTTGATGAGAATAATGAGGTGTTCAGGTAGACCCATTTCATCCAGGATTTTTCATATATGGGTCCATTTGACGGTGTCGAAAACTTTATGGAAATCCGCGAAACATAGATATACTATCGTTTCAATTTTCGTGCCTTTTAAATTATTTTCCTCAAGTTTAAAATTTACTCACGGGTCCCCTTCCCTTTAAAGCCCGTATGTTCTTGTGGGATTTGGTTGTCTAAGAAGATCCTGATTCTACAGTGGAGGATATGCAGCATGACTTTGCTGGTGTGCGACATCAAAGCTATAAGCCTGTAAATGCCGCATTTCTTTTTAGAATCCTTCTTGTATAATGAAATGAAAGTAGATTCGGTTCATTCATCTGGTCATTTTATTTCATATCCTTCAGCATAGTTTTAAAAACATGACGGTACCATGTTCACAAGTGACTTTAATTTTTTTAGATATTATACTATCTGGGCCGCAGGCTTTGTTATTCTTTAGCTTGTTGAAGGCCCGTACAATTTCTTCCCGGAAAATATCCGGTTGTATTATATTAGGACGGCTACATGGTTCCCGATTTGGAGAATGCATCCGTTCATTTGTATACAAATTCTCACAGTATTCTTTCCAGGTATCCAGAACCTTCTCAATCTCGGTTTCTTCTTCCCCCCCCCCCCTTCTCCTATTTTCAATGGACCATAATTTTGGAGTAAAATTTCTGGTTACGCTTTTTATTTTACCAAACAGGTCTTTGGTTCGGTTATTTAGTATTTGTTGTTCAATCTCGCAACAAATATTCATCAGGAAGTTATTTTTATCTTTCCTGCAGCACCTCTGTATCTTATCTAATCTGAGTTAAGCTAGTATTTTCTCCTTGCCTTCTCTAGATAAATTATCATGTTTTCCAAGGTTTTTCCTTTTTCCAATTATGTCTAAGGTAGTTTGAAACATCTAAGGCTGCTTTATCTTTTTATCAGGAATGCTATTGTGAGCTACAACAGTTTTTATTCACTTTTTCACTCCAAGCCAAAGTTCATCAGGTGTGGTCGACTCATCAGGTGTAGTCAGATCGCGGCAGGGTATCTCTCCAGGTTTTATTTGCAATTCGCAATGTTATTAATAACTGGTGATCGTGACTGAAAATATTTCTTAGGCCTAGACAGTTTTGTCCTAAGTTGTATTCTTAACATTTTATGGTCTGAACAATCACAACAAGCGCCAGGATATATTTTTACGTCGTTTAGGGAGAATCTTTATCTCGTAGCAATCAGCACATTATCTATTTAATTCCTATATTGTTCACCAGGCGATATCCAGATGTAAAGATGCCATATGTGATGTTGAAACATCGTGTTACTAATTGTGAATAAATTGTCAATGGCAAATTCTAATAGCTTTTGCCATGTTCATTCTGCACACCAATACCGAATCGTCCAACCACTGATCGCGCATGATCGTCAAGGATAGTTGAGAATATTTTGACGTTAAAATCGCCTCAAATTAGCAGCATTTCACGTCTTGAAGTTGCTGATATAATTTCCCCTAGATGGTGGCAGAAATTTTGTTTTTTCAACTCGTGCATCATTTGTTGGGACACCTAAGACAACTACTAGTCTTCAATTTTGTTCTCAAATAATAATGATCACAAACGCCTACATATACTGATTTTCACAATTAGAATGATTTAAAAAACAATTTTAGTAACAGGCAATTGGAGACTTCGGCATTTGTCCAAGGACTTCGTACGGTCTGTCGTATGCGTGTTGCAGTGCGGTGATAGGAGCATCATACCTTATGAAGACATATGATGCCTCTTCCAGTTTTTTAGGACGAAGATGACCAGTTGACCGTGCCGTTCTACGGGCTGTGATTGCAGATCCTGCATCGTGCGGCGCAGTGACTAAATAAAGTCGTACACGCTTTGAGTGTTTGCCGATGACTCGTGCAGGAACTCTCCAGACAGGCGGATTAATTTCCCGAAGACCATCTTGGCTAGTATTGATTGCAGGTCTTCCTTTAGGGCTGCCCGGATGCCCATCAAAACGACGGAGAATATATCTATCCACGCCGTCGTTTCATAGCACTTGATTGCCATTTTCAGCTGCCGGTCGAACTTTTCCATCATGTCGTTTGCTGCTAGGTGGTAGGCCGTTTCACCAACGAGTCGAGCTTAATTCAGTTTAGTTCAGTTCGTGGAATAGTTCTGCCTCGAATTGCCGCTTTTGGTCTATGGTTATTCTGGTGGATGTGCTGAATCTCGAAATCCATCCCTTGAAGTGATGACGGGCTACAGCTCTTCCTGCCATGATATCGGAGATCGGTAATGCCTTGGGCTAACGCGTGAATCGGTCCGCGATGGTCAAACATTAGCGGAACTCCTTTGAAACTGGGGAAGGTCCAATGATGTCGACGTGGATGTGTTCGAACCTCTTGAACGGCATGGAGAAGTCTCCGACAGGTGCGTAGATATGCTGATGCATCTTAGTTTTCTGACATTGGATTCATGTCTGCGCCCATTTGCGACAGTCGGCTTCTATTTGTGGCCGCACGAACCGTTATGTGATTAACTTGGCTGCCGCTTTGACCCTCGGATGCATTAATCCGTGTAAACCTGGAATATTTGCTGACGGAATTACTACGTGATGAAGGGGCGAGCCAGAGGTGTGCTCATGTTGCACACAATTTGATGATCTGAGCCCGGTATCAGTCGCTTCTCGAGTTTAAGGACTGTAGATTGTTGAAGGAGGTATCGCAGCTCGTTGTTCGTTTCCTGCGACACGACTAACTCTTCCAGATTGACTGCCCGTTGGATGATTTCGACTCGTGAGAGAGTATCGACGACGATGTCTTTTCTGGCAATGTGCTGGATGTCCGTCAAAAATTAGATAATGTAAGTGAGATGCTTCACCTGCCTTGAGTAGTTTTGTAGCAGGTTCTATTTAATGTACACCTAAAATGCGTACCTTAATGGCTTGTGATTGGTGAAGATGGTGAAACTTCTGCTTTTCAACATGTGTCCATAGTGCTTGATGGCCGTGAATACGGCCAGCAATTTTCGGTCGTACGGACTGTATTTCGCTTTTGCGGGACTTAGCTTCTTGTTAAAGAAACCCAAGGGTTGCCATTCCTCGTTGACTTGCTGTTGTATCGTCGAGCCCCGATAACGGTGTTGAAGGCGTTAAATTGGCTGTCGCCAACATAAGCTCTGTCACAGGGTCTGGATGAGCAAGCAGTGCTGCGCGTGCAAAGCTATTCTTGCATTACCTCGAATGCCGTTCTACTCTCATTCATGCAGGCGACAGGAGTGCTGCCCTTTGTCTTGAGCTACCGAGAAGATTGTTTAGTAGGATTTGTTTCTGAGTTGCCCATGAGATGAATCGTCAGTAAAAGTTGAAGTTTCTTAGGAACTGTTCTAACTGTTTGATAGTCTTTTTGATAGTCTGAATGCGTTTGAGAGGTGGCTTTGTACTTTGTCCGGAAACGAAATAGCCAACGATGTGCATTTGGCTGTCCCCAAAAACGCATTTTGCCGGGTTGATTAGCACGTCGTATTCTTGCAAGCGTGCGAAGAGCTACCGGAGATGGCTCTCATGTTCCTCTTCGGACGCCGAGGCGACCAGGATGCCGTCCCAAGTAGTACGTAAACGTTCGCTTTACGTTCACTTGATGTAGTTATATTCAAAAAAAGTGGGAACCTTCGAAGAACATACGTTTTAGAACCTATTATAAATATCTTATGTAGCAAAAGTGTAGCAGTATTACAATTATGCTGCTCTGTTACATATTAATGTCGTTAATATTAGGTGAACAATTTTGCTCCCGCCGTTTCCCTGTAGATGGCTTTAGTGGAATTTAGTGGTCAAAGTAAATAGATCATATACGTCATACAATCAACTTGGGCATCTGTCAACATAACCTAATAGTTACATTAGTCGATTTGTATCTGTACCATAAAGTTATCGTCGATTGAAGATGTCAGTTTACGAGCCGAATTCTCGTCATTTGCGGGAGGTTTTACTTTTCTGCTTTAATATGAAGAAATCTGCGGCTGAGGCTTATCAAATGCTCTCAAATACCTATGGTGAGATCGCTATTAGTAAAAGAACGTGTCGTGAGTGGTTTCAACGCTTCACGAACGGTGATTTTCACGTCAAAAACCGGCATATCGGTGGAAGAGGAAAGATTTTGGAAGATGCTGAATTGGGGGCATCACTTGATAAAGACTTGTGTCAAACTCAAAAAGAACTGGCACAATCATCGGAAGTGACTCAACAAGCCATTTCGAAGCGCCTCAAAGTCATGGGAATGATTCAAAAGCAAGGGTATTGGGTGCCGTACGAGTTGAAGCCAAGAGATGTTGAACGGCGTTTGTTTGCTTGTGAACAGCTGCTTGAAAGGCAAAGACAAAAAAGATTTCTGCATCGCATTGTGACTGGAGATGAAAAATGGGTTCATTACAATAACCCCAAGCGCAGAATATCATGAAGAGTTCCCGGCCACGCTTCCACATCGACGGCCAAACCGAACATTCATGTCTCCAAGGTAATGCTCTGTATTTGGTGGGATCAGCTCGGCGTAGTGTATTACGAGCTATTAAAACCAACTGAAACAATCACAGGCGATCGGTATCGAACTCAATTGATGCGTTTGAGCCGAGCATTGAAAGACAAGCGGCCGCACTACGCCGAGAGACACGAGAAAGTGATTTTGCAGCATGACAATGCTTAACCCCATGTTGCAAAAGTGGTCAAGACATACTTGGAAACGTTGAAATGGGAAGTCCTACCCCACCCGCCGTACTCTCCAGACGTTGCACCTTCGGATTATCACTTGTTCCGATTAATGGCATACGGCCTGGCTGACCAACACTTCCAGTCTTATGAAGAAGTCGGAAAATGGATAGATTCGTGGATTACCTCAAAAGATGACGAGTTTTTTCGACGCGGGATTCGTGCATTGTCCAAAAGATGGAAGAAAGTTGTGGCCAGTGATGGACAATACTTTGAGTCATAGCTTTATCTCCATTTTTTTTACAATAAAGCCTCAAATAAAAAAAAAACGGCAAAGTTGTACACCTAATATATTAATATATTAATATCTGTTAATATATTAATATATTAATATCTTTTAGCAATTAATATATTTTTTCAATAATTTGTTTTAAATAGACGTAATTAAACCTCATGATGTATATATTTTAATTAATAAATGGAATTGTAACTAGTCTTAGGGATAACTTAGGAACGTCTTTAGGGTACATCTGATTATATTCAATAGACTTGTACCTAATCGAAAGTGGAGAAAATTTTATTATGAAAGCTTTGATTGAAGTTTTCTATATGCGAAATTGGATAGCGATCTGACCCTGACTGTCCGTGCATTCAACCGTCTGTTGTCTACGAATGGCCGCCAGGCATCTTACGACTTCGAGACCTTGTGTAATGGTGATGTCCATAGGCTCTTTGATTGTAATATAATGCCTTCCTGCAACATCAAACTGAATTTGGTTTTAGCGGCAGTCTAGCTGCAGTCTATCGGACGCCAGTCTGCATGGTCGACACGTGTCCGATGGTCCAGGTGTGGTTTGTAATGGACCGTTGAATGCTTACCCTTTCTTGGGAAGAGGTTAGGCATTCTTTAGCTTGTCGAAGGTGATTTCGGGGAACTCCTCAAAGAGACGATGATATTTTGCCTCTGTGCTGACAGTTTTCACAGTCAAAATGTTGCTTCGGCACGGGTTTCCGGAAACTTGCAGTTTGGTCCTGCAGAAAGCTGTAGTGGACTAGGAAGTTAGCCCCGATTGCCTGTGAAACGTTGGCGATGATGAAGCGCCACAGGAACGTGCGCTAAAGTCCTAAATTCGGCTCGATGGTGACCCACCCATATGTTGATATTAGAGTTCCTTTGGCAGCAGCGTATGGTATATAGGTTGTAGGTGACCGAAATCCCTTCACGGCTGTGCGTAGGTACACTCTGACGTCAAAGCCAATCTCGGTAAGAAATTTCTCCCGGGTATTCTGGCAAGTTACGAAGGGACTGCGTGGGCTTTGGGCAGTGTCATTGGCCGCCATCATTGATTGCTCTTTTGGCTGCTGGTAGTTGCACCGCTGCGTGCATTTTGTGCTCCCCAAAGTGTTGGTGAGAGAAGCACTGAACTTGTTGCTTCTTCTGTCTCTCCTGGAGCGGTTTCGGGAACATCTGCGGCTCCTAAGTGTTCGTTCCCCTCTTTTGCTAAGTTTGGCAATTTGCAACGTTAGCCTTTGTAACTGCTCAGCCATGATTTTGTCAATGGCACAGGCAATTTCAGAGACGGTCCGGTCGGTCTCCTGAATGCGTTTCGCCTATTCGATCACATCTTTGTCAATCTTCGTAGCAGTTCGCCAGTATGATTTGCATCTGTGTGGGTAGTTAGTCTAAACATAAGCAACCGCAAGAATTAGTCAGGCATTGTCTCCCGCTAGCGTGCGTAAGTGGCGGAGGAACTGTAATAGCTTTCGGTCTCCAACTTCCTCGTGCTCGAGGAGTTGTCGGATGCGATGTTTCTGCGATGCGGAGAGACGTTGGATCAACGCTTTCTTCATTGCCAGGTAATTATTTGCGCCTGGTGGATTGGCAATGACGTCTTTTACTTCCTGGTTGTACTTAGTATCCAGTTGCGTTAGTATGTGGGCATACTTGGTGACGTTTCGCTTTATGCCGCTCAGAGTAAACTCTTCAATTGAGCGAACTATAATTCGGGCTCTTCTGGCCAGAAAGGAGATGCTCGAACGGCGACTTTGTCGACGTGTCGGCCGCTCGGTGGGCTAATTCTCCGGTTAGCTGCTTCCTGCATTGCCGTATCTTTTGTGCTTCGTATCTGTTAATGCTCTATTGGCATTGTCTCCGAACGAAGATCACGTCGGGGTCACCAGTTTTTAGCGTTTTGGTTTGGTTAATATGTTGCTTTAGTGCGGATCAGAAAGTACGCTAAAACAATAGACAGAGATGTGTCCTTTTGAATAACAATAATCCTTTATCGAAGATGACGAGTCAACAGGTAAGTGAGATTGACGGCGGCGTGCACATCCAGCGTTAGAATGGAGGGACATCTGATGGCGCCCCTCTTGAGTTGTGCGAATCGGACAGCGTGCGTCTTGATTCTCGGGAGGCTGATAATATGATGCTGTCCACTTCGGTGGTCTTTGTATTCGAGGCTCTTCGGAGTGTCGGCAGCTGATAGTTATAAATAGATGGGCTGATAAAAATCGAATATATCTATGTTTGTCCTTTTTCCAGATCAAAATAGACCATGATTTTAATGATTTCAGGAAGTAAAGATTTCACAGAAAAGTTAACTTTTATGATGTTTAATAATAGAGAAAAAAATTAACTACACGATAAAAGTTTTTTGAATACACTACGTACAATAGTCTTTTTAGATATCAACATTTCCCTTCAACATTTCCCATCTAAGCTTTTGTATCCGCCTCATAAATGAAGTGCCCTGGAAAATTGCGTTGCTCGAGGTCCTCTGGCGATCGCGCGTGAAACCTTCCGTTTGGAGAGACGCGTAGCTTGAATGCCCCGGGCGGGAGTTGAAGTAGTATGGCCAAGAGAGCTCGGCGTTGAAGTGCTGCGTCGGGAGCTCGGCGTCGATGAGGAAGACATGCTATCGAAGAAGGTGCGCTGCTGAAGAGGCAGGCTGATGGAGCGCTGGCTGAAGAGGCGTGCTGGATCTCGATGAGGTAGGCACGCTAAAGACGTGCGCTGCTGCTCGGCGAAATGGGCGCAATAATGGCGCGCTGATGGACGAGGTAGTTGTGCTACTGCTGGAGCTCGATGCTGGCTGCGTTGAAACTGGAACTCGGCGTTGATAGCGTTGCAGCTGGAGCTCCTTGTGGAGGTAGTCTTTTCCTCGTCTATGGTGATGTCCTTGAGGTAATTTATCCTGCAAAGAAATTTGCACGGCCTGTCGGCCGAGAAATTTTGGCAAAGGATTGAAAAATCCTCGCCAGGCTAAAGAGAAAGAGCTGCTACCTTTGCTTCATTGCTTGAAAAGTGCACACCATATACAAGGTCTGGCTATTACATAACGAGACTGCTTATGAAAAAGAGTTTTATTTTAAAAATTATTCAACAATCAAATGCTCCCCTTCAATGTACTCCCCTCCCCTTTCCACACACCGTTCCATTCGTTTTTTCCATTGTTTAAAGCAATGCTGGAAGTCTTCTTTTGTAAGTGCATTTAGGAGCTCCGCCGATTTTCGCTCCACCTCTTCCATCGACTCTAATCGGGTTCCTTTTAAGACAGATTTAATCTTTGGAAACAGGAAAAGTCACAGGGTGCTAAATCAGTCGTGTACGGCGCGTGTTCGAACACTAGAGTGCTTCTAGCGGCTAAATAACGCTTCACAGACAGCGCATTAAGTGCAGGTGCATTGTCCTGGTGCAATATCCAGATAAAATATTTTTGACAGTTTCTCTATCGGCGTTTACAATCTCAGCAATCATCCTAATGCTCATACGACAATCTCCGCGCACAATTTCATTGATTTTGGTCACTGTTTGCGAAGTTAAAACAGAGACAGGTCGACCTGGACGTTGGTCATCTTCGGTGCTCTCTCGGCCTTCAGAAAACCGTATATATCATTTGAAAACACGCGCACGAGATAGAGAATTTTCACCATAGGCCTCTTTCAACAAGTTATAGCACACAGTAGGAGTTTTTTTAATTTAACAAGAAATTTCACATTGATCCGTTGCTCGTATTTTTCGTTACACATTGTTATCGGCAAGAGAAAAAAACAGGTTCGTTTTTAACCTCTTTAGAAAAAATACTACTACAGCGACAAAAGCGAGTTTTCGTACTGGAATAGTAGACACTTCCACCTATCCAACGCTGCATTCGTTTCCCCCCTTCCCTCTAGAACTGCGCGCGCAGTCTTGTTATTTAATAGCCAGACCTCGTATGCCTGTCTTCTCTGGGAAGAGTTAGAGGGCTATGTGTGTTGCCGCTTTGCGTGGAGCGCTTTGTGTGGAGCCTCCCGTTGTGCCGTTTTATATATCTGCGGTGAGCGTATTTTACCGCGAGGAAACTCCGCGGGCGTGCGCCGCAACTTAACATTTTCTGGTTTTCGCGATCCACCCGAAGACGTTTGATTAATGTGTTCAAACTTCTCGAAGGCATAATACGAAAGTAGCCGCGCTTATTTGGTTGATTCTTTTCTTACACAAATGTTGATATCTAAAAAATTATTATACATACTGTATTCAAAAAACTTTTATCGTGAAGTTCATTTTTTTCTTTATTATTAAACATCATAAAAGTTAACTTTTACGTGAAAGCTTTACTTCCTGAGATCATCAAAATCATGGTCTATTTTGAGCTGGAAAAAAGTCAAACATAGATATAATCGATTTTTAAGCGCATAAATATTATCAAGAGGATTAATAAAAGAATGGAAAATATACTTGTTTTCTCGTTTACATGTGCTTGCAACATTGTTTTTTCTCCGTGGGTTTAAATTAATATATTTATCGTTTAATGATTCTGACGAAATTCGTCTTACGACACGTCGACAAAATATCGGTAATACATCATCTATGACCATAATATATGAAATAAAATAATATAAGATACGGCATTATACGAAACCAACCAGTAGATAAATAAACAAATATTATTAGAAAACACGTGTGTTATTGATAAATAATAAATCAACTGATTGTAAAAGGCGTATTTACCTTCTGTACCTTAAATTTCTTTATCTGAAGAAAAATTTGTGTTAAATAATATTTTTTGCTTTTCCTCAACTCACAATAGCGTTTACACTGCTAAGATATCGATCGACTAAAATCGAAAGACTAGTTCAAAAGAACAATTTTAACATTTGGAGCAATCGTCAGTTGATTTGACATAGGTAGCTACGATTTATCTGCTTCGCATGTTGCCAATTGCTTATAATCGCATATGCTTCGATTTATCAATAAAACCAATGTTATCAGATTACGACGACACAGCGTCGACGGACTGCAACGTCGAAATACGTACAACGGCACGATGCCGTTGACGGACCACTACATTGAAACGAGCGCGACGGCATCATGCCGTCAACGGACCGTAAAGTGTTAAAGTGGGTGTATTTTTCGCCTGGGGGCAGTGCCGTATGCTATAGCGGAGACCGGCTTGTTGGGACGCTGTGTAGCCACTATAGAGACGTACGACTTGGGAACACTGCAATAAATGATGTTTCTTATGTTTCAGCTACTTTTTTAGGAAAGCCTTTTCTGCCTGCTCGATATATTTCCTGCTTATTTAAGACTTCTGGCATTTTTATCATAAAGCATAAATATTCAGATCCATTTTGAACTGTTACTACTTTCTAAAGCACATTCCCATAGAAAGATATAATTCACACAAAAGTAGTATCAAAAACGTCTATTTTAGCAAATTTAATTGAAGTTTCCTCAAAAACTGGATATGATACGTTGTTTTTCCAACAAACTCGTAATCAGCGCTAAAACATCTACCAGAAATGACTAACTTGATAAAATTTAAGGCAGAAAAGGTCTTATTTTGTTAAACTGTATTATTCGTCAAAGAATACCATCTTGGTTGGCTGTCGGGACCAAATACCTGACACTTTTGTGAATTCCTTGACGAATTGGTTTTCTTCGCGACGATGAGTAAATTATGGCGTAAATTGATGATCTTGCAATTTTAATATTCCTAGTAACTTGGCCTTCGGGTCATGCTCTTGGAAACTCGTCTACCTCTGTTCTCAAGCACAATAACAGATTTAGTCTCATCTTTCTTTTTCTCATTCTCGTTCACTCATCAATGCTCAGTATTCTCGCGCGCTCTCTCTCTCTCTCTCTCTAACTTGCGACAACTACAACAACAATCACGAAACGGAGCTTGGAGAACACAGCCTGCAAGCAATATGAAAGTCCCCCTTCTTCTTTCATAGGTCTGTTCGCGTTGCTTGCACTTTTGAGACTTTTGCACTTAATGCCGATCGATATCCAATGACATATTTTCTTTTTAAAGAGAGACTAATGTGCAACAGGCGTTAAGGCGTAGATGTGAAAGTGTCAAAAGTGCAAGCAACGCGAACAGACCTTATGTTTGTTAATTTTCGGAAGCTTCTTTACGCTTCCGATGGCAGCCGATTGTTTTCTTCAATCTGCTGTTTTGCATCTTTCACTTCTCACTTTCGATATTCTTGTTTTTCCTAGTTGTTGATTGGGATTTTCAGCTGGCGCTTGTTTATTATTGACATTCTTCTTGCCTCTTCTGCCGTCTCAACAACTGAAAGATACGAATAACTACGAAATCGGCTACGTTCAATTGGATGATTTAATAATATGCAGATTGCTCCGAAATTCTTTGCAAGATGATATTAAACATCATGTTACATCAAAACTGTTGATACGTTTTCTTTATTTCACATGTTTAATGACATTACCTTTTGACGTATCAAAAAATATTCATTTTTGAGACGTGTTCAAAATTTACGCTTTCTTATAGATAAATTTATCACGAGAAACTTTCCTCGCGATTAATTTTTACGACTTTAAAATGTCGCTAACTCCTCTAAAATACATCGAAAATTTTCGGTTTCGACAATGAAAAACTATCTCAAAAGATTGCTTGAGTAGTATGCAAATTTCAAACGCAATCGAATAAAGCTCAATGACAAATCTCATAAAGGTCCTGCCACAGCGATCACTTCAGAGAACGTCAATGTTGTGCGCAACTTACAGCAGGAAAACCATTACACGATCTAATAAGGTGTCCCCAGTCACTGATATGATTCAAATCATAACAATCCTATATTATTTTGGCATCAGAAAGCTGTGTGGTTGTTGGATACTGCACAATTCAACGAAAACTTAAAAGAAGCGCGTGTCTAATAGAGCAAAGAAATGCTAAAAAATATAGTAAGTTCAGAACAGTTTATGACATTATAACAAGTAACGAATTATGGATTTACTGCTATGAACCGGAAAGCAATCGAGTGTATGAGTATCTTCAGACGAGTCACACAATTCAAC